TAATTGACCAATAAGCGCACCGGGCACTATACTCAACAACAACATGGTAGATCAAAGGAGGGGCGAGGATGGTAGATCAAGGGAGGAGCGAGGATGGTAGATTAAGAGAGGGGGCGAGGATGGTAGATAAAGAGAGGAGCGAGGATGGTAGATCAAGGCAGAGGCGAGGATGGTAGATCAAGAGAGGGGCGAGGATGGTAGATCAAGGAAGGGACGAGGATGGTAGATCAAGAGAGGAGCGAGGATGGTAGATCAAGAGAGGGGCGAGGATGGTAGATCAACAGAGGGGCTAGGATGGTAGATCAACAGAGGGGCTAGGATGGTAGATCAACAGAAGGACGAGGATGGTAGATGAAGGAAGAGGCGAGGATGGTAGATGAAGGAAGAGACGAGGATGGTAGATCAAGAGAGGAGCGAGGATGGTAGATTAAGGAAGAGACGAGGATGGTAGATCAAGGGAGGGACGAGGATGGTAGATTAAGAGAGGAGCGAGGATGGTAGATCAAGAGAGAGGCGAGGATGGTAGATCAAGAGAAGGACGTGGATGGTAGATCAAGAGAAGGACGTGGATGGTAGATCAAGGGAGAGGCGAGGATGGTAGATCAAGAGAGGGGCGAGGATGGTAGATCAAGAGAGGGGCGAGGATGGTAGATCAAGAGAGGGGCGAGGATGGTAGATCAAGAGAGGGGCGAGGATGGTAGATCAAGAGAGGGGGCAAGGACGGTAGATCAAGAGAGGGGCGAGGATGGTAGATCAAGGAAGTGGCGAGGATAGTAGATCAAAGGAGGGACGAGGATGGTAGATCAAGGGAGAGGCGAGGATGGTAGATCAAGGAAGTGGCGAGGATAGTAGATCAAAGGAGGGACGAGGATGGTAGATCAAGGGAGAGGCGAGGATGGTAGATGAAGGAAGGGACGAGGATGGTAGATGAAGAAAGGGGCGAGGATGGTAGATGAAGAAAGGGACGAGGATGGTAGATGAAGAAAGGGGCGAGGATAGTAGATCAAGAGAGGGGCTAGGATGGTAGATCAAGGGAGGGACGAGGATAGTAGATGAAGGAAGAGGCGAGGGGAGAACATTTGGCGAGTGAGGTGAGGCACGGCGTATTGATCGCTGGGTCAGACCCCGCGGCTCCACGCTGCTGTGACGGCCGACCGTGCTTCCCCAGCACGCACTGACGCGTGCTTGCACGTAAACGTTCACGCACGTACCTACACGTTCACGGACGCATGTAAACATTCACGCACGTACCTACACGTTCACGGACGCATGTAAACATTCACGCACGTACCAACACGCTCCCGGACGCATGTAAACGTTCACGCACGTACCTACATGTTCACGGACGCATGTAAACATTCACGCACGTACCAACACGCTCCCGGACGCATGTAAACGTTCAGGCACGTACCTACATGTTCACGGACGCATGTAAACGTTCATGCACGTACCAACACGTTCACAGACGCATGTAAACGTTCACAGACGCACTAAACGTTCACGCACGCATGTAACTCATTCACGCAAATAAACTCTCTCACACACACATGTAAAGCTTACACACACACATGAAAACGCTCACACACGCATGCAAATTCTTACGTTCGTGTATAAATGTACGTTCACCCAGGTACACATATAATCCCACACACACATGTAACTGCTCACAAACACATGTGAAAGTTCCTCAGCATATGTAAAACGCTGCCACGTGCATATAAAGCGTTCACGCGTTCAGGCGCATGGGCATGGACGCATGCTTGCTCGTCGGCAGGAATGCCCGCTCATAAACTTAACTACGTATGTAAATTTTCACGAAGTACGCATGTGTCATGCAATTATACATGCTGTTGCGTATGTACACGCACATTTTTACACACTTAGGCTACTATGCAAGAGTACACAAAGGCTATGGCGTCTTTCTTCACTTTGACCACTTAAGCACAGGCTACTATGCAAGAGTACACAAAGGCTATGGCGTCTCTGTTCACGTTGACCACTTAAGCACAGGCTACTATGCTAAAGTACACAAAGGCTATGGCGTCTTTGTTCACTTTGACTACTTAAGCACAGGCTACTATGCAAGAGTACACAAAGGCTATGGCGTCTTTGTTCACTTTGACCACTTAAGCACTCGTTAAGTGTACATGTGTACACGTTTAAAAACACATATTTACATAGGTAGACTTCTGATCATGTGCGTAGATAGACTGAGCGTGTAGCGTGTAGATAGCCTAAGCTACGCTATCCCTTTGAGATGTATTTCTTTCTTGTGTCAATAAACATACTTGAACTTGAACGTGTTCATGTACGCACTTAATAATAAATAATAAATGTTTATTTAGGTAAGGTACATACATACAAGAGATTTTACAAAGATTGATCGATTTATAGATAGAGCTAGTACATAAAATGCCTAAAGCCACTATTACGCACAGCGTTTCGGGCATGAAACGATGTACTTTAGGGCACTTTAGCTGCCAACGATGTACTCGTATGAGCTTCCAATGCTGTACGCATAGGCCATTAATTATATGTACGCACGTAAGGATATAGCGATGTACGCATATATATATTTAAGCTTCCAGTGATATACGCACCTAGGTTCCTAATGAAGTATGCAAATAAACTCACATTATGTTAGCACATAAGCAAGCAATGATTAATCATATAGACTACTGCTCATATACGCACCTGAAATAATGTGCCTGCAAAATCTTTAATTGCTATAATTAACTAATTATTGAATTACCCTTGTTCATCCCCCCTTTAGACCGGATTATTTCATTATCCGTGTGTGTTCGCTAGTTACAGAACATAATATATATACGAGGTGCATAATACAAAAAATCATTTTTAAAAAGTTACATCAGGTTAACCTTATTGCAAGAGAATCCATTATACTCAAATCTTGCAGACGATGAGTCACAATAACGTGGCTAAAGTATGTTGACCAGACCACACACTAGAAGGTGAAGGGACGACGACGTTTCGGTCCGTCCTGGACCATTCTCAAGTCGATTGTGTACTCAAGTACTAAAATCTTACTATCTTTTGGTGTTTACTATATCTTAGGTCAAGCATGGCACGCGGTTCCTAAATCATGCAGACGTTGAGTCACAATAACGTGGCTGAAGACATGATGACCAATAACATCAGAAGATGGAGAAACAACGACGTTTCGGTCCGTCCTGGACCATTATCAAGCGTCCTGGACCATTATCAAGCCGTATAATACAAGCCCTCTCTCTCCCTTCCGATGGGAGAGAGGAAGGGATGGGTAATAAATAATTAGTTATAACTGGATCAAAATCGCACTCTGTCTTCACAGTACAGATCAACAAATAAATAACATCGCTCAAATTGAAAATAATTTCTGTATTGTTGGGAAAACCAGCTCTGGGCTGCTAAGTCGTAAGTTAAGCATTTTATTTATATTTTAATGATGTGTGTATATCGTTCTCATATAAATTGTGATTAGTGCACTAGATCACAACACAGAGCGCATGAAATTACAGTCTGGTTCAATGTAAATAACCACTAAATAATGTATTTTTCTCATCCCATAACTGTAAGCCGGTATTGGTATTATTTATGTTCTGTATACATTCAACACTTGAAGAGTGTTCTTTGTTATTCTTTATTATTACATGAAACAATAATAACATTCTTACCTGGAAACACAGTAAGGCATTATTCTTATTTTTGTATAACCGTGTTTCCAGGTAAGAATGTTATTATTATTTCATGTTAGATACGAAAACCATTACATTTTTTCATTGTTATAAAGGATAATAACCTTCACGTGATGGGTACATAGTTCTTGCAAAGTTAAAGAGGTTCATATTTTGCCCTTATGGGATTAAATAATACTTAAATGGAATTCGACAATTTACAGGTTCGGCTTCAGTTGTAAAGACTCATGGTGTCATACAAGTACAGGCGTCAACACAGTCATGTTATCCCAACACCTGATCAGTCCTTCTCACAACTTGAGACTTGATCACGTTTAACCTATCAATGTTTTCTTCTCGCCAAATTGGGAAGGTCGACTTTCAGAAAGAAGATATAGTGATAAGGTATTTAGGTTATTGACTTAAATATTAGAGTATTATTCTATCCTCTCATCACTAGATGTCGACGTTCCTGTTTGAATATCCTTCCATGATAAGCTTTAAAGGTTTGATTAACTGCTATGAGAGTCGTCAGGATTCCTCCAATTGGCACTTCAAGAAAAACTTCCTCCCTCTCATACGTACAGAGACCAAAGTTTCAACTCTTGTTAAAACCTCCGAAAATCGTAACCAATAAATTTAAGTAATTACACTCAGTAAATATTAATCAGTACTGTATTGAGAAAATGCATGTCAGCAACTAAGGAGGTGAGATATCCGGGCTAGAACACCATCTCAAATGTTGTGTCAGTGGGAATAAATTACAACATCCAATGCGTGACCAAGTTTATCCAACACCGGATAGTGTGGGGTGTCTCCGGGCTAGTTTTTTTCAACCAAAAACGTGGCCATACATTTATACAATGCGCACTACTATACAAGTCCACTACGGACTTGTAGTGGACTTGTATATAATATATGAACATTTATATATATAAATATAATGTATTGGAGGGGACCTACATTCCCTCCAATGCGTTATGTGTGGTTTCCTCCGAGGCTATGGGTCCCCCTTCTTCCAGCCAGAGGTGGTACTCCCTTCCATTGTTAAATATAATTATATACATTCCAGCAGCTTCAGTTGCAAATTACTACATGTTACAACCGCAAGCTGCATTCCATGCAACTTGCAGTTGAAAATATGTTATTATTGATATTTTAAAATTAAATCAAAGTTATCTCGGCCCCCCCCCCAAAAAAAAAAAAAAATATATATATACTGTATATACATACATACATATACTTCGTCTGTCCGACATAGACAGCTTTGGAGAGCTAGTACAGTATATATAGTGAGAATATATCTTTGAGGAAAGTCAAAGGTGATTTGTAGGTACCATCATATATTTCAAATTTCACCTAATAAAGCACATTTACATATTCAAATACCCAAGGAAATATACTTTATTTAAGTTAACTACCAGGAAGACTCCAGACAATTATACATGACTTAAGAGAATGAAATTGAACACTTATCAAAACTAATTTTTTAAATCATTTTAATTGTGTGCACTGTCTCTTTAATAAAGTGATAAGAGCATGATATAAAAAGTCATTATCCAGTTAATTAAAACATTAAGAGGAATTTTGATGACTATGCTTAGTACTCGTCTCCTTCTATCTCTCCATCACCATCAGCAGAATCCACACCAACTTCCTCGTAGTCCTTCTCCAAGGCTGCCAGGTCCTCCCGAGCCTCTGAAAACTCTCCCTCCTCCATGCCTTCACCTACGTACCTGAAATGGACACCATTTAATAAGTTTAGGTGGCAATAACAACTAACCGGTGTTGTATAGTATATACAACACGAACCTATAGTAACTATATTCTGCATATTCCGAGTTTCATGATATACACTTCCGATTTAAATAGAATATCATTTCCTATAAGGAACAAACATTAAATTATTAAGTAAATAGCGGGGGATAGTCATCAGGTTGAGAGGATTCCTATTGAAGTAAAATTATAAAGGAATAAATTTGAATGGCTGAAAGGTAGTTGAAATGAAGGTATAAGTAGCCTAATCTGCTTACATTTCTACATCTTGTGAGAACTAATGTCTTCTATAATATTTAGTTTAAAAAAATTAAGATTAACAATAGCCAATACTTAATATCATGAATTTATATAATTATATATTTTTCTTCTGCTCAATGATTGACTCTCACATATATAAGATTATGTTTTTCTGATTTCTTGTCGGCATTTTGAATAGTAGTTAATTCCGTGCACTGAATTATACATCAGAATGAAATCATAATGGTAGTGCCTTATCTTGATAATTACTGGTTCATTTTCACATTTACATTAATCATAGTTACTGCTCATTATGTAGACATTTATCAAGTTGATAAACTTTATTGAAGACGATGTTAAACTTACAATTACCATTGTGACTTATGGAAGGTCAAACCATTGTGCCTGAAATTTTTTAGTTGTATTTTTAGACTGAAACAAAATTATAATTATCGCTTCGACGGGGAAATGATTCCACGCGTGTATCGACCAGGTTGTGATTCATACGATAGACTGTGAGCAGCCGCGTCCTACAGGAGGCCTGGTCGAGGACTGAGCCGTGGGGACGTTGAGCCCCGAAATCATCGCAAGGTAGCCCATGTCACCCAACTTGCTAAAGTGATACTTGAACAAATAGATTACCTGCATAACTTATTACCATTCCCACCTCGTAAGCCTTTATGTTCCTTTACAAGAACTGGGCTTGTGTATCTCCATTATTTGATAACGCCCCTACAGCCGAAATATTATCTTTATATAAGTCTAATGTTATCAACTGCATTTCTCTAGATCGATGTTTCTACTTTTAGCTCTCTTTAACTAACTGCACAATAGTATTTTTAGTATTTTTTTATACTAAACTTAACATCGATAACATGCTCGTAAAGATAATTATACTTTTTTATATGAAAATACAGCTGAAAAAATGTTGTAAAATATGTGTGCAGATACATTGAACTTCTTCAATATAAATAACTTGCATAACAATAGTATTTTTTAGACTAAACTTAGCATCGATAACGTGCTCGAAAAGGTAATTACACTTTTTTACATGAAAATACAGCTGAAAAAAATGTTGTAAAAGATGAGTGCAGATACATTGAACTTCCACAATATAAATAACTTGCATAACAATAGACTTAACAAAGTATTCTTTACATTATTTAGAACTCACCAGTGTACAAAAGCTCTCTTAGCATACATAAGATCAAACTTATGATCTAGACGTGCCCAGGCTTCTGCAATAGCAGTGGTGTTGGACAACATGCAGACAGCTCTTGACACCTTGGCCAGGTCTCCTCCAGGCACGATTGTTGGAGGCTGGTAGTTGATGCCCACCTGACAATTGAAAATATTTATCACTTTCTCATATTGGCATTGAAAATTGTGTGAACAATGATAAACAGTTAAAAAGCAGGTTTACAACAAAAACGTTATATTAAGAATATTTTCAACATATATTAATGATTATTTTATCCATCTTAATTAATGCAGGCGATGAGTCACAATAACGTGGCTAAAGTATGTTGACCAGACCCCACACTAGAAAGTGAAGGGACGACGACGTTTCGGTCCGTCTTGGACCATTCTCACAATCGACTTGAGAATGGTCCCGGGCCAGATTCACGAAAGCACTTACGCAAACATTTGCGAACCTGTACATCTTTTCTCAATCTTTGGCGGCTTTGTTTCCAATTATTAATTAGTTAATGAGCTCCGAAGCACCAGGAAGCTGTTTATAACAATAACAACAGTTGAATGGGAAGTTTTCATGCTTGTAAACTGTTTAATAAATGTAACCAAAGCCCTCAAAGATTGAGGAAAGATGTACACGTTCGTAAGTGCTTGCGTAAGTGCTTTCGTGAATCTGGCCCCAGGACGGACCGAAACGTCGTCGTCCCTTCACCTTCTAGTGTGTCTGGTCTCGTCAACATCTTAATTCATGTTAGTCATAATAAAATCAGTCCATTACTTTAAAGCCTGTTGGGCACCAGTCAACAAACTGAATCGTGCGCTTCGTCTTGATAGTGGCGATAGCCGCATTAACGTCCTTGGGAACCACATCTCCACGATACAGCAAGCAACATGCCATGTACTTTCCATGACGCGGGTCACACTTCACCATCTGCAAAGGAATTGATTAAAGGCAATATTATCCAACAAGAAATAACGGGAATTATAAATTGTACAAGAGACTCCATTTTGCTGCGTATCCTTTGTTGAATCGTGAGGAGAGCGCCTCTCGTTTACATACCTGGTTGGCTGGTTCAAAGCAGGCATTGGTGATTTCCGAGACTGAAAGCTGTTCATGATAGGCTTTCTCCGCCGAGATGACGGGAGCATATGTCACCAGTGGGAAGTGAATACGTGGGTAAGGCACAAGATTGGTCTGGAACTCTGTGAGGTCAACATTGAGGGCACCGTCAAATCTGCAAAAGGACCACGCAATGTAGGATTTTTGTTTTGCAGCACATGTGTATCTCATACACGTGAGATGACTAGTGTTCTCGACATGACTGCTACACCTGTCATGACTGGTGTTCCCGACATGAGTGCTACACCTGACATAACGTGACTGACACCTGACATGACATGCAACTGTCATAACAATGATGCCATGATGACCAGACCACACTAGAATGTGAAGGGACGACGACGTTTCGGTCCGTCCTGGACTATTCTCAAGTCGATTGTGAATGGTCGCCTTGAGAATGGTCCAGGACGGACCGAAACGTCGTCGTCCCTTTACATTCTAGTGTGTGGTCTGGTCATCATACTTTAGCCACGTTATTGTAACTCATCGCCTGCAAATGATGCCATATTTATTGACAATGACGTGAACAGGATGCCCTCAATACACTGACACTTCATGTTGTTGGTTATACAGACGATACCACTATTTTTGTGTCGACAGAAGACTCGGTGGTGAATGTTCAGGATGAGTTAGACAACTTTGAGAGAGCAATAGATGGTGTTATTAACAAAAACAAAACGTGTAGTATGGGGCTTAACAGTTTGTGTAATAAGGTTACCTGGACAGGTTCATGGTTCAGGGTAGTGGAGTCTATTAAGACTCTGGATTTGCTGGTGTAAAACATACGGAGCAACATTGGTTACAATTAGGCAAGTACTATGTAGAAATATAATAGTAACTACGAATATGTTGTCAAATAAGAGATTAACCCTGTTTCAGAAGGCTGTAATAATCAATTGCAAAATTTTGTCTAAAGTGTGGTATTTGTCTCTCAGTTTTCCAATTGATAAAATTACTATGGAGAGTGACAAAGCTATTTTTACATATGTATGTTATGGTGGATACCAACCAATTAAACGGACTACACTATGCAAAGGTAAGAAAGACGGTGGAGTACTTACCTAGTTTTACCTAGTATAAACTATAAAATGTACTATTTTCCATTGTAAATTGATGTAATTATAATCTTTATATAACATGTTATTTAATAAAAAAAGTACACAAATACCCCGCCCCCCTCTTCACTTCATCACTGGTTCCCGCATTACAATAATGAACCTGTGAGTTTACCTGTAAAATAATAAAAACACCCAAAATAAAGTAACAAATTTACTTTTTTAATATTGATCTTAAATATTCAGTACTTTTAATTGCAGTTATTTAACAAATAAACTACGTATTACTAATATGTTTACTTTATGCTCAAAAATAAATTTGTCTAGAAAGGTCCAATTCACTACTAATGTTTTTTGTGACAAGAATAGGCTACAGTAGCTACTGTATTGCATTCTCAACGTTTTATTTAAAAAATAAAGTTTAAATTAGTTTTTTATAAGTAACTTAAACACTTGGCCTCAGGATAATAACTTGTATACGATATACCTTAATATAACATTTTAAATTGCACACTTTTTTTTTTTTTTTTTTTTTTTGAGATATATACAAGAGTTGTTACATTCTTGTACAGCCACTAGTACGCGTAGCGTTTCGGGCAGGTCCCTGGAATACGATCCCCTGCCGCGAAGAATCGTTTTTTCATCCAAGTACACATTTTACTGTTGCGTTAAACAGAGGCTACAGTTAAGGATTTGCGCCCAGTAAATCCTCCCCGGCCAGGATACGAACCCATGACATAGCGCTCGCGGACCGCCAGGCGAGTGTCTTACCACTACACCACGGAGACTGTTAAATAAACTTGAAAATAAACCCTTTATTTATGATTAAAGAAGTAGGCTAAATTGCAGTATGTTGATGACAGGAAAATATATATGCTGTTTACAGCTTAATTTATAACTTCCACCCAGCCAGACATATCGTAGCTACTGTGCTAGCAAGAGTTCCGCGCCCAGTCAATACACAAAGGCTTATAGGTATAGGTTAAGTAATAATTGTAATTACGAAGCAATAAGATGCTTATCTTAACATACAGTACTAAGAAGGTTAGGTAAGGTCGGTGTTTTCTATTAAGCTTTTCAAGGTAAACTAAAATATTCACAATAAATTAGTATGTCACATATGCACTTATTTAATAAGTCAATATTGACCGTAGAAAGTGCGAGAACGGGTTGCAGTACAACTGTCGCCACAACAGTTTAACTTTGATAAGCTAAAACTGTTAAACATTTAATTGTTTTACTATACTCATTTGCGTTAAAATCTACCATTGGATAGATCTTGCAATACAAAAAGTAACAAATTCCAAAATAAAGTTCCAAAATTAGGCCTACCTGAGCGAGGCTGTAATGGAAGAGACAATTTGACCAATAAGGCGGTTGAGGTTGGTGTAGGAAGGACGCTCAATATCGAGGTTTCTTCGGCAGATATCATAGATGGCCTCGTTGTCTACCATGAAGGCACAGTCTGAATGTTCCAGGGTAGTGTGGGTAGTTAATATGGAGTTGTAGGGTTCCACGACTGCCGTAGCAACCTGATGGAAAATGATTATACATAAATTTTAAATTTTGCCCCGAGGGGCGAGTTTATTGGGCAGCGCCACTCATCTTGTGAGTGGACACACCGCCATAGTGACAGTATTGGGCAGCGCCGCTCATCTTGTGAGTGGACACACCGCCATAGTGACAGTATTGGGCAGCGCCGCTCATCTTGTGAGTGGACACACCGCCATAGTGACAGTATTGGGCAGCGCCGCTCATCTTGTAAGTGGACACACCGCCATAGTGACAGTATTGGGCAGCGCCACTCATCTTGTGAGTGGACACACCGCCATAGCAGCATGTACAACACTCCCCAATAGGAAGAAAACCCTAACATATTGTTCAATAGTTACCTAAAGGAGCATGTAGGAGTTCTGTTCACCGCCGGATGATATATTCATATAAATGAACCCAATTATGGGCCAGGTTCTCAAAAATAAGTATATCCTCTCAACAGATCCTATAGTATGTTAATTAAAACTCCTTTTAAATAATATTTTCTCCAAAAATAAAAGCAGGGATGTTAGAGGAACATGCACCGGAGAGCTATTGGCTCTTCAACCAAATCGCAATATAATTTAATTTTGCTGCCTACCACACATAAATATAGAACATTTATTAATTTTTAATGTAAGACTCGGTGTTTTAACTCTCCTAAGAATTTCTTTTTCTGATTCCGAACTTATACTGCTACCTGTGTACAATATATTATAACAAAACTGTTTATCAAAACTATTCCCTGTAAATTTGCTTAACTTAATATACCTGCTGGCCATCATCTGTAGAGGCCGTTGTGGGGGAAGGCCAGTAGCTTTGTGGAAGGCTCATGATATTTTCTGATACGTTTTTTCCAATAACGTTATGACGTATAGAACTGTCTTCATCTTTACCAATTTGGGGAGGGGTAGGTAATTTCATTGATTATTAAATTCTCCTATCCTCTCTGGACAATTATCTCCCCAACTCATAAAAGCATAAAGAGGGATATTAATTATGATGTACAGGCTGCAGAAACTCATAACATCTAGGTTAAGCTCACCTGTGGTGCCGGGTAGACGGAAAATTCGAGCTTACTCTTCTTGCCATAATCAACAGAAAGACGTTCCATGAGCAGTGAGGTGAAGCCTGATCCCGTCCCGCCACCGAAGGAATGAAAGATCAAAAATCCCTGAAAAATATTATATAATTATAGAATGTTGTTTATGGCTTGATACGTTTAAAAATATTTGTTTAGACTTCAACTCATGATCTGAGACATGGTGAAGAGGCCATCTCTCATTGTGAAGGAATACATGTGATATGAGAAGTTTGTGTAATGGAAATCATTTATCATCTTAGCAGGAGCTGTTCATTCGATATTTGGGCTGTTGACAGCTTAAATGAGTTCTTTGTTACCCCCCGTGTCCTGTGACTTATGAAGAAGAAATATAATTGTTTCTAAAGGAAACTAAAAAAATAGAGTAATGCATGATGATGTGTTAACGTCATTGTGCTTCGTAAGCCTTTGTTCAGCTCTGATTACAAGCTATCAGATTATTATATATATGATGCTGTCTGCTGTCTTTTTAATAACCTCAACATATCACTGAAATTAACTATTTTAACAGCCATTTAAATTAATTCCTCAGCACTGTACCAAAGTTAATCTTACACTATATCATAATTAAATACAAAGAATAAGAGCTATTTGTTTTGTCAAGTTACATATCGTTTTTGTGGTACGACAAAATTCATTTACTATCAAATTATGTTGAAAAACATTAAAGATCTAACAAACTTTTGTTTTATTTTATTTTTTAGATCACCTGAAGGCCGGTACACATGTCTGCAATTTTCCGTAGTCTATCCAGCACCAGGTCAACGATCTCCTTTCCAATTGTATAGTGACCACGGGCATAATTGTTGGCTGCGTCTTCCTTCCCAGTTATAAGCTGCTCGGGGTGGAACAGCTGACGGTAAGTCCCTGTGCGCACCTCATCTGACCAAAGGAAGAGTCGTATGATTGGCGAGGCTTTAGGTGTCACACTATACATTCCTTGTATTATTTCCTCGTCACATGCGTTATAAGTTGGGTTTATAAGTTATGAATATTGATCACGTGAGGAAATACTTATTACTTAACACTTGCGCATTTCATTTAAAATCCTACCAGCCTAGGTCATTTCTTAGTCCTACCCGAGAGTGAAACGTCCAGAACCTCCAGGGATTCATCTTAAAACCTCCATAACCCTTAGGGTGCCATCTTTAAACCTCCAGAACCCCCAGGGAGTCATCTTAAAACCTCCATAACCCTTAGGGTGTCATCTTTAAACCTCAAGAACCCCCAGGGAGTCATCTTAAAACCTCCATAACCCTTAGGGTGCCATCTTTAAACCTCCAGAACCCCCAGGGAGTCATCTTAAAACCTCCATAACCCTTAGGGTGTCATCTTTAAACCTCCAGAACCCCCAGGGAGTCATCTTAAAACCTCCATAACTTTCCTTAGGGTGCCATCTTTAAACCCTCAGAACCCCAGGGGGTGTCATCTTAAAACCTCCATAACCCTAGGGTGCTATAATTAAACCTCCAGATTCCCAAGGGTGTCATCTTAAAACCTCTATAACCTCTGAGGTTCTGGAGGAACCTCTTAAAACCTGTTCAGGACAGGGAAAGGTTGGACAAGGAGAGTGTGGTGGCGGTAATACACACCCACGACAGAAGGCTCCAAGTCTACAAACACTGCTCTCGGCACATGCTTTCCGGATGATGTTTCACTGAAGAAGGTGTTGAAGGAGTCGTCGCCGCCACCAATAGTCTTGTCTGAGGGCATCTGGCCGTCGGGCTGGATGCCGTGTTCAAGGCAGTACAGCTCCCAGCAGGCATTTCCCATCTGTACGCCCGCCTGCCCGATGTGGACGCTGATGCACTCACGCTGTTCAGGGAAAAAAATATACAGTGGTTATTTTAAGAGAATAATTTTTCCCCTAACAAAGTCATGCATGTTTTTGCGCAATACAGGATAAACTATATAGACTTGTATTTTGTTATTTGCATGTGTAATTATACTTTAGTCCACAGAGCCCAGGAATGTAAGCATTATAATTATAAGGTGTGCAAGATGTATGTAATTGTTAGTGTAATAATCTTCCTTTGTGTTGTCTGTAATCCTTTTTGCGCTACTGCTCACAGGATGAGTATGGGGCGCACAGTCAACTAGCCGCCTTTGGCGGCAACAATCAAAATCAATTGTCAGTGTATAAACACCGAAAAGCCTCATATTATTCTAACAACTTTAATCAGAATTTTGTACCGTTTCCTGAATCTGGTTGTACTAGGAGCCAAGAACACAGAAGCAGTGTACTAATCAAAGCTGGTGATGTACACAATGCCTATCGTATAGAATAGTGATATTGAAATTTAAATTTAAATTTAAATAGGTTTATTGAGGTAAAATACACACAAAGGGATGAGGTAGCTCAAGCTATTTTCACCCCCGTTCAGTACAACGTATTCATACATATTGTCGGAAAATCCGACACCATTTAATATATCATACAGACAGATAATAGCTGTATTGTATAAACAAGTTACCCATAGAAAACGTAACTTGTAGTGGAATTACCGTCTAAAGAAAACGGGATATCATCACCACATACTATTATAATTCACCAGCTATTCTGCTGGGAATTATTCTTAAATACATTAGTCTTTGGACTTTACCATCATAAAACATCTCATATAAATTAACTTAATTATCAGTATTAAAGTAGAGTAAATGTGACCCTTCTATCACTTATTGACATCTGGACAATGTAAGCCAGGCGTCAGGGTGAGGGAGGGCAGCCATTGTTGTGTCACCTCCGAGACGCGTGGAGCAAATTCGGCTCCTATCATATCTGGACAATGTTGGCCAGTAGCGTCAATAGTATGGAGTGTTAGACATTGCCATTGTTGATATCAGACCAGAGGCTCACGGGAGCAAATTCGGCTCCTGTTAATTTTACTTGGACGTAGTGTTATGGAAGCCAAAGGTGTACCATCTTCAACACGCTGTCAACAAATCAAGTTAAGTGTTCTTTCCGAAACCCATTATCTATCATTAGTGGCCATTAATGTCATTGGGTAGGGTTAGACGGTTAGAGCACGAGATAGCCTCAAACTAAAGGTAATTAAGCCAGGTCTTTATTGTTCCATGTACAGTATTTTCTCTGATATGCCTGTCATATATAGGTATCTGGCTTTACAGCTAGCGCCCTTTTGACAGGTCAAGACGAGGAAGTATCCTTTGTGCATCAGTTACCAGGGTGATGGAAGCTACCTCAAAGAGGGAAAATGTGGAGTCTACACCCTAGTTATACCTGGTGGACTAACCTGCTGTACTATAAGATAAGGAACCTCTTCAATGTATGTAGTCTAATACTGTAGTTTGATTGGCTGCATATATATAAATTTAATTAATATAAACCCCCCTAATGTGTAGAGGATCGATTTGTGAGATTGAGATTATTGCAGAAATACAGTCCACTTATCATTATACAAATTGCTATCGAAGTATATAAATTAACGTAAATATAAATTCATATAAATTAAATAAATATAAATCTCACAGGTCGGTTCCCACACATATATAGACACATCACAAATAATAAACATATTACTGAACATTCTGAGTGATAAACATATCATCTGAAAGTAGTGATATCAATGTCCCGCGTCTATATCATCTTGAGGTTATCTTGAGATGATTTCGGAGCTTTAGTGTCCCCGCGGCCCGGTCCTCGACCAGGCCTCCACCCCCAGGAAGCAGCCCGTGACAGCTGACTAACACCCAGGTACCTGTTTTACTGCTAGGTAACAGGGGCATAGGGTGAAAGAAACTCTGCCCATTGTTTCTCGCCAGCGCCCGGGATCGAACCCGGGACCACAGGATTAAAAGTCCAGCGTGCTGTCCGCTCGGCCGACCGGCTCCCTGGTCCATGGCGATGGTTTTAATTAAGCGGTCTAATAATAAATATGTATTACCTTACCTACTACTGTACTTAATATTTTCCTTTCCTGTATACCCCCTCTCTCAATATTTATTTATTTATTTATTTATTTATATATACATATATATATATATATATATATATATATATATATATATATATATATATATATATTATTAAATATGACCGAAAAAGTAAGATTAATAATTCTAACACGAATTTTCTCAATCTTTCGTACATTTCGTTTCACTGTTGGAGGTAAATCAAAAATCAATTCTCCAAAATTCATTTTTATTTCTAGTCTGACGCGACACGAGCGCGTTTCGTAAAACTTATTACATTTTCAAAGACTTTAGTTCACAAATACACAACTGAATAGAACTTACGCATCTCAGATTTTATATCTACATTTGAGTGAGGTGGAAGGGGTGATGTGGCATTAATACAAGACAGAACAAGATGTGGTATTAATAGGGTATTAATTTCATCAACACAAGACAGAACAAGAGTATTAATAGGGTATTAATTTCATCAACACAAGACAGAACACGAAACAATGGATATTGAATAGAAGTGTTTGTAGAAAGCCTATTGGTCCATATTTCTTGATGCTTCTATATTGGAGCGGAGTCTTGAGGTGGGTAGAATATAGTTGTGTATATACAACTATATTCTACCCACCTCAAGACTCCGCTCCAATATAGAAGCATCAAGAAATATGGACCAATAGGCTTTCTACAAACACTTCTATTCAATATCCATTGTTTCGTGTTCTGTCTTGTGTTGATGAAATTAATACCCTATTAATACTCTTGTTCTGTCTTGTGTTGATGAAATTAATACCCTATTAATACCACATCTTGTTCTGTCTTGTGCTAATGCCACATCACCCCTTCCACCTCACTCAAATGTAGATATAAAATCTGAGATGCGTAAGTTCTATTCAGTTGTGTATTTGTGAACTAAAGTCTTTGAAAATGTAATAAGTTTTACGAAACGCGCTCGTGTCGCGTCAGACTAGAAATAAAAATGAATTTTGGAGAATTGATTTTTGATTTACCTCCAACAGTGAAACGAAATGTACGAAAGATTGAGAAAATTCGTGTTAGAATTATTAATCTTACTTTTTCGGTCATATTTAATAATATATGTCTACAGGAAAGACTGCTACCAAAATATACTAATATATATATATATATATATATATATATATATATATATATATATATATATATATATATATATATATATATATATATATATATATATATATATATATACAAGAAGGTACATTGGGATTGTGAAGATACATAATATGGTAATTACAATCTTGTAAAGCCACTAGTACGCGCAGCGTTTCGGGCAGAAACACTTCAAATATGATACCAGATCAGGGAATAGAGAACTGTACAAGGAGCCAAAGAGGACAATTGGCTATGAAAGTAGACAGAAGATAAGAGTAAATGAGGGATATAGGAGGAGGTGGAGAAATAGAAGAAAGGAGGGAAGACGCTTTATGAGTCATACCTCACCCATCATCTTCTACCCCCCCCCCACCCCCCCACCCCTCGTCCCTCCACCGTCTCTTTCTCCCAAGCAAACACCCCCCCTCCCCCCACCACCAGACAACCCCTCCCACCCCCACCACCAGACAACCCCCCCCCCCCCACCTCGTCATCCATACTTAGTTCACCCGCCGCTGAGCCGCGAGTACACAGGAAATAGTTGAAACTGAGGCAACTCCATTTTTATGTAGCTTCCTGCGTCAGATAACGATCTCGTAGAATACACAGTCCAATACACTTGCGTCAGCTGTGCCTCAGGAGGAGCTGTATAATCCTTATCTTTAGCTCACTGTATTTTCTGTCGTTATACAGCGAGCAGTACCAGGGCAAGTAGATACCCGGGGGGGGGGGGGGGTGTTATCTGGAGATGATTTCTGGGCTTTAGTGTCCCCGCGGCCCGGTCCTCGACCAGGCCTTCACCCCCAGGAAGCAGCCCGTGACAGCTGACTAACTCCCAGGTACCTATTTTACTGCTAGGTAACAAGGGCATAGGGTGAAAGAAACCACCCTAAGGGGGGAGGGGGAAGACTTTAAACAGGAAGGAGGTAGGAACCCATAAAGAAACACCTGACATAGGAGAGGAGGAAATTCACAGGGGAGAACCTTATACAAGAAGGGGAAGGTTGAAACCCACAGGGGAGAACCTTATACGAGAAGGGGAAGGTTGAAACCCACAGGGGACGACCTTATATAAGAACATAAGAACAAAGGTAACTGCAGAAGGCCTATTGGCCCATACTAGGCAGCTCCTATTTATATCCACCCAATCCCCCTCATATACATGTCCAACCCACGCTTGAAACAATCGATGGACCCCACCTCCACAACGTTACGCGGTAATTGGTTCCACAAATCAACAACCCTGTTACCGAACCAGTATTTACCCAAGTGTTTCCTAAATCTAAACATATCCAAGAACGGAGAAGTAACCCAATGGGCAAGACTTTATTGAAGAGGGAAAATGCCCGCTGGGGAAGATCTACAAGAAGAGGAAACCCACAGAAGAGGATCTTATAGAAGAAAGGTACAGTAGTACCTTTCTTCAAGTTTCAAGCATGGGTTGGACATGTATATGAGTGGGATTGGGTGGTTATACATAGGAGCTGCCTCGTATGGGCCAATAGGCCTTCTGCAGTTGCCTTTGTTCTTTTGTTCTAGTAATTGATAAGTGATCATGTATAAGAAGGAGTAGGGGGGTAGTGACCGGCAGGAGAGATGGTGTAACAGAGAGGGGGAGGTAATGACCCCAAGAAGAAGACCTGCAACAGGAAAGGGGAGGCGACTATACTGCTGGACGCCGTCTGAGCACACTACCCCCTGCCTCTCAACACTCACCATTCTTGCTCTCTGCATTATGTAACGCTTGGTGATATACTGCA